CATTGGTTGCTTTATCTTTGCACAGAACAATTTAATTTTTTAATTAAAGCTGACGCTCAATATTTTCTAATTCACAATCTGTTGTGGCAATCTTGTGGCTAGAAAATATATCATTATTTATTTTTTGTTTTAAGTCCTGCAGTGAAAAATCCGCATTCAATGTGTCTCTTTCGCATTTTTCTTTTCTGGCTGGGTGTTAAAAAGCTTTTGCAGTTGCCGCTTATCAACTTTTTCCACTTATATTTCCTCATTTCTCAGCGACGGAGAGCATATTCATTTTCCTCTTGCCAGTTGGCTTTATTTATTTTTCACCAAAGGATTTATGTTTTTGGGTTATGGTGTGCTTGTCTTTGAAGCTCAGAGAGAGTTTTCTCGACTAGCGCTATATTCTCTTCAATTTTTTAATTTTTACCCAGAGTTCCTCTTGCATTTTCCGTTTCTTAGTTTTAATAGCGCACAGAGTGAGCGCAGTTCTTAAAGCCTTTTCAAATTCTATTATGCCATATCAACTGAAAAGGACAAAAATAAACTGACTTTCAACTGTCTGCCGCCTTTTCCTTGGGGCTGTGGGTTGAGCTTAATATCCTTTGAATGCAATTAGCCGCACGCCTAATTAAGTTTGCGAATTGTTTTTCAAAGGATTAAAGTGGAATTCATTAAAAAATAACGAATGCTAATTTGTGTTTATTATTCATTTTATTGGGCTTTATCAAACTATCATTTAAAATATAGATTTATACGATTTTTACCATTGTTTTTGGTTTTTTCTCAAGGCTTTATTATACCAACAAAATAAATCAATTTAAATTAATAGTGCTTTAATCTTTACCTTGAATTATTAATTAGAGTAGTATGAAGTAGTATGAATTTCGAATAAGACAAGAAAGGAAGCTAGCTTCGGCAACCCGATGCTTGTATACCCTTGCAGTCATCATCTGATATATAAACAAGGATGTTATGCTTTTTTTTTTAATATAGATTTTTCCCATATTGATAAAATTAAATTCGAAATTCGAGAGTAGTTAAAAAGCACCATCTGGTGCTTTTTGTCAGGAAACATGATCAAAAACAAAACTGGTCAAAGTTCACAAATGAAACCTTTTGATTCATTACAATCAAAAGTCGCCATTACACCATTTTGAACGCCAACACAGTCTTCACTTCCAGTTGTATTTTTTGGTTCGTTGGGACCCCAATTTAAATAGGTGGCTGGTTTGCCGGTGTTCTCGGATACGAACACGCCCTCTTGCTCACGATCGTTGATGCCGAGCCAGTAACTTTTGTCAGCGAGCCTTGCCTTGAGTTCAGTCATCTCTTGTGCAGATTGTATTGTCGCCAACCTACCACCAAAATTAGAGCAAAGTTGTTTTGCAATTATCCATCGTATACGACAAAAACCTGAGATAAAAAAATATCTCGATCCGATTCTTTTCCAGCTCAGAAGTTTGGGTTCAAGTATTGCAATTATTATCATCACAGAGTTTGTGTGAATAGAAACCAACTCAAGGTTGAGTTCGTTTTCGATCCTGGAAAGTCGCGACCGTATATTTTCCATTCCCCCATTGATTTTATCCATTCCCGTAAGGATAATATGAAGACCGTCAGTTTGGTTTACTAAATTCCGCTGAAGTTTTGTCATGTGTTCGAAAACGGGCCGCAAAGCTGCTTGAGTGTAAGCCCCGCACTGAGTTGGGGCATCAGTTAACTGGCAAACTGAACACGTATCCTGCGTTTTTTCCTGCGACCGAACTTCTCCATTTATATTTAAGGCAACAAAAATATACAAGAAATAAACTGCGGAGTTTGGCATTTTGGAACTATTTTGCTCGAATGCTTTCTGTGAACTAATTCTACACTGTCTTGCGAACAATTATATATGGTAGTTCCGTTGATAACAACAATACTATCACTTCTCACCCATTATTTGGAAAGTAAAGGGTATGGTGTATTTAAGTGAAAGTATGTAACGGATAAAAGAAAGCAAATATATATGTTCCTAACAAAGATCATCAGATGATTTAATAAATCCTCTGTTTTCGTCAGACCGTTAGGTAACTAAAAAAGCTAGAATGTTATGATTAAGTGTGTAGATTCTAGAAATTTGCGTCCACAAGAAATTAAATGGTATTTGCATTATATATATATGCAACGATCAGGTTAAAAATTTGCCACTCCACTTGACTGATGGGCATCAAGTGAGTGGGCGTATGCGAGTTTTTGTTTTTATTGAAATCCTTGTCTTGCAAAATGATATAAGTTAGTGATGAATACCCATCAAAAGAAATTAGGGAAACAGCGAAATTCTATACCATCCACATTTTTATAGTACTGAACTTTGGTTGAATAACTTGACAAATATGCAGCTTAAGACTTTTAAAAAGTTTTCTACCCTCATAGGCGTTTTAGCCTTGCTGCCTGTATAGGCGCAGAGATCTTCGCGATTAAACTTTTAACAAAATTGTTCTTTTGAGTATCGGATATCTCATAGTCGAGGCACTCGACTATAGCTTTACCTCTTCCGGAAGCAAACTACCGCAAGTTTTTATCAAAACCGAGCTTTTTTGGTACTAGATAGAATGTTTTGCTGATAATGACATTTCTATACTTGTATTATATATTTTTGGTTTATTTTTCTTCAGTATGCGGTTTTTAAAGTGGAGATTATAATTGCAATTTGGAATGGTGTTTTTCTTGTAAAAATCAGCTCGATTTCAAAAACTATTGTTTGAATCCCACCATTGCCACAGCTAGATTTTAAGGCCCTGTACTGTGTCAGCGCTATGCATCTAGTTAGTTATTAAAAACTAAGTTAGTTTCATAACTATGCTCGTTGTTGGGAAGTTTTTTTATTATTATTATTATTCCCGTTGAAAGAATGAATCAATGCGGTTTTGCAGAAAATTTATTTTATTTACCGAAACCATACCCATTTTCATATCCTTCCAGGGGGTTTCGTTATTCTAGTTGAAAGTTTGCAACGCAGTGATGAAGATTGTATATATATTCATGATCAGCATCACGATCTACATCGTAATATTTTTGTACGTCTGTAGGTTGCAAACTTCTGACTGAAATTATAATACCCCTGCAAGGGTATACAAATTACGGATGAAACGTTACCGATGTTGCTGTGCATTTCCTTATTAAGTTTGCTTTCCTTTAATTAAACTTTAAACTGTGCTGCAAAATCCGCCTACTTTGCTAATTACAGGCACTAAGATTTCTTTCTTTCCGTTTCTGTTGCTGCAAAGAAGCCATCCTGTGTGGCAAACATCCTGCGAAGCATTCAGCTAGCTGCCTCCTCCGCCTGCAACTGCCTCCTCAGCTCTTTCTGTTAACCATTTGTGGCTGGGACAACTTTGATAGCCGAGACTTGCTGTGTATCTGCAATAATATAATGCCATGTAATAAGGAAGTAACATTTACAAAAGCCAACTGCTGGCAACAGCCAAACAAACACACTTGTAATAAACGTGTTCGTGTGAGTGTGGGTGTGTGTAAAGTGTGTTTTAGATGCAGTTGTGTGTGTGCTTATGGAAAAGCGGTCGACGCGTGTAAATTGCAAAGAGTAAAATCTTGTAAAAGGCAAATTCCTTTCAAATGCAACCATTGCGCCGGATAGAGAAAAAGGATGTGGATGTGGCAGGAGTCGTAGAAAAGGGAGAACTACTTAAAGTTGCAAGGCACTAGAGAGAGAATTGCTGGATTCTGTGGGAGAAGGAGCTGCTGTGGTGAAATTTACACAGCGCATTCAAGTTGACTTTTATAGTATGTCATACAACAAACATCAAGCAGGATATCGCCCATCCACTCAACAGCCACCCCCTCAATCATCGCTGCCAGAAGAGATACTATGCAAAGTTTGTAGTTTTTTGTAGATACAAAATCCTAAAAGCCCGAACAACAACAGTGAGCTATGCTGTAAGCTGTAAATTTGATTGAAGATATTGCAGGTGTTGAGTGGAGTGGATAAGGATTGTGCTTCTGCAGGATGAAGTGCGGTCAACTTGTTTGCTTCTCCTCAGCTCTTTATTAAAATAGCCAGTGGTTCTCGACTGACCACAAAGTATTGCAATCTAGGTTCCTTTTCTACTGCTTTAATTAAGCGATGGGTAAACATTGCTTTCTAAACAGATTACGTCACAAAATATGCATTTAAAGTAGAAAAAATAAAAGAAAAAGTTAAAATAATTATGGTTACTAACTTGTTATTTCTGCTAATATTTTTCTATTGCTGACATAGTTCCAATATTTTGTTTGTGCATATATGTTCATGAAAACAATATTAAGAATTCTTTTGTTATGATCAAATTGGCATATAAGCGTAATTGGAAGCAAAATAATAAGTAAATATAAATTTATTGTAAGGCGTAAACCGCTTGTTTCAATTTATTTTTGCTGCAAATAAAGAAGGTGTATAAGTTGCGAATTCCTCTTGATTTTCTTCATTTGAATGTCCTCCCAATTATTTTGACCACCGGAGTCGAGGCGACTTTGCCCAGAGATTTTTGTGTTCGTGTGGGTGGTGATAAGGGGGGTGGATAAGGGGGGAGAGAGAGGGGGCACAAAAGGGTGGACAAACAGAGCACACAATGCGAGTGGCAAGCACTCCACCGATGCTGCATCCTCTTATTCCAGAAAACCCTTTTTGCCTTTCAAGCTTGGCCCTCTTTTCTGGCTCAAGTGTTTGCATTTTACGACCACAGACAGAAGGACATACACATACGCAGACAGTCACAGGCAAAGGTACACTTGTGTGGGTGCGAGAGTGTGTGCGAAAGTGTGTGTGAGCTGGATCTTTATTTTCGAGTTTGTGAGCTTAAGTGAAATGTAGCTGACCTAAGCTGCAAATCAAACAGAGAAATATATACTATATATATACATAGATTGCATGCCCAGTCGTCTCAAGGTCGAATCATCCACTCATATCTACCTTAACTAATAAATATTCATTTAAATTTACTAATCCATTGCAATTTGCCTCCCAACTTCTCCTTCAGGCAAGTTATGAGCAATAGTTAAAGCTAGGAAAAAAAGAAAGAAAGAGTTAAGAAAAGAAAAGAAGAGAGTTTTTCAAGCTGGATCAAAGGTGGTTATAAGGACGAAGAATCGGGAGCAGTATCTGCATGTCAGCAATAAACCCACCAAGCGGCAAACAATCGCATATTAGCCACATCTGATCAATCACCGCCAGAGGATCAATCAGGATGCTGAGCTCGCTGGACGCGCTGGCCGGCAAAATAGCCACTGCCACGCCCGGAACGGGGGCGGTGGCGGCGGACAGCAAGAATACACAGTCACTGCACCACCACCACCACCGGCTGGACTACGATTACTCAGCGGTGGAGATCGAGCCGCCGGCGGAGCAGCTGGCCAACTCGCCGCGCAGCGAACGCGAGCGTTTGCAGCAGGCGCAGCAGGCGTACGAGCAGCAGGCCCAGGCGGAACTGGAGTTCGGCCTGGCCGAGGTGGACGCCAAGCTGACGCAGCTGAAGGGCGGGAATAGCCTGCAGCCGCACCACCCACACAGCCAGCACCACCAGCTGACGGCGGTCAGCCGAACGCTGCAGCGGCATCCGCACCACCAGCTGCACCACCATCAGCATCAGAGCCACCACCACCATCCCTACCAGCGACCCAGACCCACCTCTCCCCCGCATCAGCAGCAGCAACAACAACAGCAGCAGCAGCAGCAACAGCAACAACAATCGTCCTCCTATCAGCAGCAACTTTCCCAGTTGGCCGCTCTGCAGGATCACCACGATCTGCTGCAATCGCAGCAGGAGCTCTTCCACAAGCAGTTGGCCAACATGCAGGAGTACCAGCGGGAAAGGGAGCGGGAGCGAGAAAGGGAGAGGGAGCGAGAACGAGAAAGAGAAAGGGAGAGGGAGCGGGAGAGAGAAAGAGAAAGAGAAAGGGAGCAGCGGGACAGGGAGCGGAGCGGAAGCAGCTTCATCGACAACAGCGACTACGATTCGCAGACGGAGTTCAAAATTTGCCTGAGGGATAGGTGAGTGAGCGAGCGACCTCATATCATATCATCGATTTATTCCGGAACACGAAAGCCACTTTAACTAGCCCCCATTTAAATGTTATTTATTGTGTTGTTTTAATATTTTCACTGATTTATTTTGTACCATAAGCCACATGTTCCCTACCCAATTATACTTTTACAAGCTACTAATTTTCGGGAGAATCTATTTAGTAATTCCTTACATCTAAGAATTTTTAATGTAATTTTTATATTTTTCTAAAATTTTTGCTTGACGCACAAAATTTTTCTTTTATTTCACGCAATTTTGTGAGGACTTAGCTTTTGGAGACCAGGAACGAAAAACCAAAAATTTAATTCAGTCCCAATAATAAACAATACTAACCTTATTTACGGGTACATTATTAATGATATCATTAAAAACACCTTAATACTACATGCATTATTTTATTATTCCATAAAAAACCATACATTTTATTTTTGACGAGTCAAGATAAAAAAACAATAATAACAGCAATTCTGCTCATTTCACTTATTGCTCTTACCCGCTAAAAATTTCGTCTGCATTGCATGTTTGCATGCACGACAGGAATGCATTTTAAAACGCAACTTAATTCATTAGCGCAAATCAGCAAGAAGCCATATAATTATAGAAATGGAAACGCATTAAACCAGTGACCAAAGTCGGACACGGAAAATCCATTAAAATCTTTATTTCATAGTATAATAAACATCAAAAGTCAGATCAAAAAATAATAATTTTATGGCTATTAACTTTCAATTGTGTGCCAATTTAAAAAAAAATATTAAGAAATATTTTCAGCTTCTTTAGCTTTGAAACTTATTTCCTAGAAATTATATCTTAACCATCACACTTTTTCATATCTATTAAATTCCGATTGTGTGCAAATTGAAAGGAAAATTAAAAACAAATATTTCCAGCGCCTTTAGCTTTGATACATATTTCCAAGGAATTATACTTTAATCAGGGTGTTGTTTTCCACCCTTTTCCATATGTTTTTCTTCGTTGCTGTGCTGTCATGTTGGGTTGTATCCTCGGTGTAAACATGTCGGGAAATCAAAACCCGAAAACACGCACCTTGGCAACGCCTTCAAGCGCTGCATGCAGCTTGAATCGGGAAAACAAACCAAAAATAATAAAAACATTTGTAATTTTTGGCCAAACGAAAATGTCACGTGACAAATTGCTGCTGGGCGAAAATGTGCTCCAGCCAAGTAGCTAAGGGAAAATCAGCTTGCGGTGCTTCTGAGAAGTTATGAAGGAGGAGAAGGGGGTGGGTTGGGGCAGGGGGAGGGTGGTAGGTGTGAGGGAAATCGAGTTTTCCGAGCACATGCTTGACACGAACCCTCACACTCACACTCACACTCACACTTTTTCCTCCCGCAGTCACACGACAGGCGGCTTTATTATTCACATTTGTTTGGTCTTAACTAATTTAATGTGTAATATCATTTGACATATTGTTTTCATGTTGCTGCCTTTGATTTGTGGCCCCGTAAAGGGTTTCTCGTTATTTGTTTGCTTCGCCCCACATCGTCTGAGTTTATCACACATGCAAATAGTTGGCGCCTGGGGGAGGCGCCATTTTGACAGTTACCACCTACAGCTAAAAACCCTCCAGGACCTTATTTGTATACGAAAATGAGGTTTGTTTGGTCGAGCCTAGCGATGGAAAATGGGGTTCGTTTCCCTTAAATAAAAGAAAAGAAAATCCTTTAAACGATTGCGATTAAGATTACACTACATGATAACAAAATGTTCTGAAAAATTGTTAAACGCAGCATTAATTTATTCTCTATTAACTTATAAAAAAAAAAAAAATATCAAAATTAAAATAACATTGTATTTTTAATAGTATTCGTAATATAATAGACTTATCTTGAAATTCAGAAAGCCGTCACTTTCTAACTCCCATCTCTAATTTATTTCGCAGAACAGCAAACATTATTTATTCTCTATTAACTTATAAAAAAAAAAAATATCAAAATTAAAATAACATTGTATTTTTAATAGTATTCGTAATATAATAGACTTATCTTGAAACTCAGAAAGCCGTCACTTTCTAACTCCCATCTCTAATTTATTTCGCAGAACAGCAAACATTATTTATTCTCTATTAACTTATAAAAAAAAAAAAAATATCAAAATTAAAATAACATTGTATTTTTAATAGTATTCGTAATATAATAGACTTATCTTGAAACTCAGAAAGCCGTCACTTTCTAACTCCCATCTCTAATTTATTTCGCAGAACAGCAAACATTATTTATTCTCTATTAACTTATAAAAAAAAAAATATCAAAATTAAAATAACATTGTATTTTTAATAGTATTCGTAATATAATAGACTTTTCTTGAAACTCAGAAAGCCGTCACTTTCTAACTCCCATCTCTAATTTATTTCGCAGAACAGCAAACATTGCGTAAATTTTTTATAACCCACTGAGTATGACATTTTATGTTTATTGCCTTCGCAATTTACAACTTTTGCTGCTATTTTGGTGGCCTCCCTTTGTTCTAGGCTCTTTATGGCTATTTTAAAAAGCTTTGACATTTGCGTGCCTGCAATTGCGGCTAAGGAAAATAGCGAAGTAAAGAAATACCGATTCGTTCATTGACTTTAAAGCGCGTGTTGCAATGCAATTAGCTCGGGGTAAATCTAATGCTGCATTTGCATGTGACATTCAATTAATTGGGCGGGGTGGGCGTTGGTGCTCGAGACGAGGCAGAGATAATAGAAATCGTCATTGGGGCTCATATAATAATTATTCATCCCCCAAAGGGAAAATTGTCGGCTGAAAGTGAAATGACTCTGTTCTAATGCGCGACAAAACAAACAGAAAACAATAATAAACAAAACACAAATGTTGTAACAAAACAGCAGCGGCGGTAAACAAATAGAAGTGGAAAACAAAACTTTGTGAGAGGTTTTTCATTTATTAAAGTGGCCATGAGTGGGTGGGTGGATGAGATGAGCTTTGGACACGTAAGCAAATACTGCCTTCACATGTGAATGCAAGGATGTGGGAGGAGGTCTGGAAAAGGACTTGGAAGCAGAACAGCTTTTGTGTGGCTAAAGGAAAAGCGACAACGAAATGCGTTGGCAAAAGGAAAGAACATGAAAATTTATGGAAAAGAAAATGTTGTCTAAGGTTTTCAAAAGGTGTTGCTCTAGAATATTATGAAACTCTAGAATATTATGAAACATTACGAGCATATTCTTTAAATGTATCATATTTTTTTAGTTTATTGAATTGCAGATTCACTAGTCATTCATTACCTTTTATTTATATCTATTCCAAATTATGCTTTAGTTTATTGTATCGGAGTTTTATGATTCTTTTTAAGTGAATGCAAATTTTCTGAAGGTCATTTTCTTAAATTCCCTGAAGTACATTCCTTTTCCTTTTTCCGATTTCTTTGCAATGTTTTTCAGCCCACGTGTACAGCAGCCAACAAAAGCAATTGAAAAGAATGTTGCGCGGCTTTTTCTTCTGGGCCTTAGGAAAAAGAAAAACACCTACACCCATTTTTCCTACATTCTTTCCGCCCACTTTTCCACCCCTGCAGTCTATTTATAACCCGAGCCTGCATTGCATTTCACTTTGCAGCGTTCGCTGTGTTTGTATCATTTCAATTGTTGCTGCTGCTTTTTGCTTCTGCTGTTGTTTGTTTATCCAGCAACCGCCGAGCCGCCCATTTACCACCCCCAAGCACACCCAACTTTTCTTTCCTTGTGGGTGAGTTTGTGTGTGTATGTGTGTGTGGGTGACCCAGGAAAAGCTAATTTAGCTGCTGGCTGAGGGACATTCAAGGATAACCCAGTGAGTAAGCTCAGCTCCCGCGACTTTTTGTTGTGTTTTGTTCTAGTGAAATCGAAATCCAACAGACAGAGGGCAGTGTATGTATTTTTTAGGCACTGCAAAAAAAAGGTTGTGCAAATAGGTGTTTTTCCAATTTGATTAAAGTTTATTTAAATAAAGGTATTTTAGGATACACATTATTCTGTAGCTAAAATCTTTTATCTCAAGCTTTATTATTTAATAATTTGTACAATGTCTTGGGATACCTTTTTGTTTTAATATACACATTGTTTATATAATTTTTCTTAGTGTTTTTAAAGGAATTTGCTTCTGTGGGGGAGACAAGCGCGTCAGATGTTCCATGTTTGCCATTTGCATAGTTGCAATTTGAGCTCAGCTCAACATGCATTTGTGTTAGTCATGTGTGTCTGCATACATACTTTTCACCTTTATTGTTTTATGAAAATTTTATTTGCAAAAAATATGTTAAATATTTGTGTGGGGGTGTCAGTTGGCTCGAGTTGACTTCCATCTGCTCGCTTTTTGAAAAAAAATTGTATTTAAATGAAAATAGAAAGTTGCATATAAATTACATGCATGAGTTATGTTTCTCGTGACGGAAGAGCACGAAGACCCAGGGCCAATATTTCGGAATGTATAATACTGTTTTATAAATATGACGAGCATAAGGAAGTGGTCGGGAAATCTGAAATAATTTAATTCCTCTTTACAAAATTTATATAGAAATAATAACAAAAGATGAAATCAGCAAAAAGTTATTAGTACACGAAAAAAAGAAAATAAATGTTTTTAAAATACAATTTGATTTAAGTATAGTCTTTCTAACTATCTAACAAATCAAAAAAAAAATATTTTTCTGTCGCAAATCGAAGCTAATCAAACATTGTGCAGTAATAAAATGCTGCCTTATAATTTCATTTGCAAAATATAATTTTGGTGTGCCATTCAAAGGGTCACTGCATAAATATTACATTTTCAATTTTAATGAGCGGCAATCAAATAAACAAACAACAAACTTTTAGCGAGCAAAATGAATTTTCTGTAATTTGTTAGGCAGAACGCAAAAATTGATGAGGAAAATACTGTGCAGTAAAATGGCTGGCTCGGCCCTTTTATTATGTTTTCACTCGATTTATGTTGTTGTTTTATTTTCCTTATTTTATTGTATTCAA